ATAAAAAAGGATTTTAATCAATGGAAAAAAAACGGTTACAAAAAAAAAAAGGAAAAATTTTCCCAAAAAAGAAACAAAAATTTTTTCATAAAAATAAAATTTGAAGCCTTGTTTCTCAACTCTTTTTTTTGGAAAGGCCTTTTTAGTTTAATGTGCAAATTTTGGAAAACAGAATATATAAAGAGGGAAAAAAAAAAGGGGGGGGGGAAAAGAAAAAAAAAAGGGGGGGGGGGGGGGGGGGGGAAAAAAAGGGGGGGGGGAAAAAAAAAGGAAAAATGGGAAAGAAAATTGGAAAATTTTTAAAAAAATTAGCAAGACGGGACTCTCAGCAGTGGTTTCAAGTTGGAAAAAAATTCAGATTCAGAAAGGATAAACGAAAGTACGGGTTTTGGGTAGTAGAGTTGGGGAGGTGGAAAAAAATTTCCCAAGACGTCATAAAAAACAAATTATTTTGATTTTTTAAAAATAGGTTAGATAAAATATAGTGGGTGTTGGGGGGTGATTGGACCTGACTGGGTTGTGCTACAGGCCTGATGCCGTGCCCCTTCCTTTTAAGGGATCGACCTGAGGGGGGGGTAATTGGTCTAAGCTGAGGGTGTTGTGGCCCTTTCCTCACATGGCCAGTAGCCCCGTTCGTGCCCTTTTTCTTATGTTCTTATTAATCAATAGGCAGTCCTACCCATAACACACCCACTTGCATACATTGAGACAGTGAGTAAAGACAACACGGGGCCCTAGCGCAGCAGTGGTAAACATCCCCAGAATGAACCACAACCTGTGGTTTTTACCTGTACATGGACCCCCGGTTAAAGAACTTTTTTCTTCCAGTAGTATTTTAGGTGCCCGTATGATGAATTTTTTCCCCTAAGGAATTTGTGAAGTGATTAGTCAAATTTTAGACCCCCAAACATCACTACAAACGCACTTACAAAATTACACTTTCATAAGGGGCCCTTTGGAGGTGACATTAGCGGGGGTCCCCTGTAAATTCAAAAAAAAATTTAGCCAGTCTAAACGGAAAGGGGGGAGCCTTGAAATGGAGCATCTTGTTCAACAAAAAAAAAGGTACAGAAATGTTAACTGTACATAAAGCCACAGTGAAGATTTATAGCCGGGAATTTTTGTATTTTTATAAAAAAACTATTGAAAAAATCAGCATAAAGAAAGGTCCAAAAAGATGGGCAAAAGGGGGGGGTTTTAGATTTACGAAATTACTTTATGTTGAAGTTTCACTAAGTGGGTATAGTTCACTTAATCGACTACTAAATGGCCCCCCCCCCCCCCCAAAAAAAAAAAAAAAATTAACATACTTCACTGTTAAAAGCAGTGGAATAAAAGATATTTGCTTTTCAAAAATGATATTTCTCTATTAGAATATTTTAAAAACGTTCACCAACATCTTTCGTGAAAAAGTTTTTCACAATTGGGAAAAGTATGCTTTTGAGATTTTTTTTCCCTAATTTCATGGGATAATATCAGTCTTATAATCTTTGTGGGGGGAAATTAAAAATAATTTTCAAAAATTTTTACTTTGCTTTTTTTTCCCCTTAAAACATTTTTTTAAACCCCTTTGACTGTTTCAGGCCCTTCTCTGAAACTGTCATTCTATGTCGCTCTTTTTTTGAAAAAAAAAAAAATTCTTATAAAATATAGGAATTTTTTCCCCGATGGTAATGACCCCAAATTCGAAAATTTGGCGAAACTCATGGAATTATGCTCCGTGAAGTTGGCGGTCCGGGACAATCGTTTCGGGGATTTCGCCCATTTTGAGCCCTATTTTCAGCCAATTCCATTGTTTCCAGTTGACCAAACTCATAGCTATTTTTTTAGAACCCATTTTACTTCCCAGTACAAAAACCTCCCATTTACTAATTTGGACTCCCCCAATGGGGTGGTCAAAATTGGCAATTTGGCCAATTTCACACAAAAAAAAAAAGATCCCAATTTCAATAGGGTTCAGAATAAACAAGGTAACATTCGTGGCAAAAAAAAACATATGCTCTGTTCATTAACACATCTTAGCCCTTTTAAATTTTATTATTGCTTTTTTTTTGATTTTTTTTTATCAAAAAAATACAAAATTTTGTTATGCGACTCTGCATTACTGAAAAAATGGTAAAAAATAATATCATGCACTGTGAAAAAGAATATTAGACTCCCCATTCGTGTTTGGGACTGGGGGTGTTTTATTTACTCCTAAAACATTGGTAAAAATCGAAATTTCCGCTATTTTTGAGCTCATTTTTCAAGTCGTTTTCTTTGTCAAAGAATGAAAATCACTCTATTTCTGTAAATTTTTTTCCATTTTATCACCTAAACCAAAAAAACGCGAAAAAAACGATAATCCTATACGAAAAACACCTCAAGTCGGGTTTTTTTCCCAAAAAAAAACGTCATTTTTTTTTTTTCTCATTACGCAAGTGTCTGAAATTTTTTTTTTTTAGTGGTGCCACGACCACACCACCCATTCCTCACATGTGGGCCTACCAGTTTCTCCCGTTGATTGAACCGCTAGAATTATTGAGTATATATACGTCAGAAAATTGGTCGTAAGATATTTATATGTTAAAAAACAGTCAAAGGGTTAAAAAGTGTAAAAAAGTGTGATTTTTTTTATTTTTTCTGTTTCCCAAATTAATGTCAAAAATTGGATTATATTTCTTGCTGATTTTTTTGTGTTTATTTTAAAAATAAAAATAAAAAAAGTTTAATTAAAAATAGTTGTTTCGGCCCTGGGGTGGTTGAAGAACACTGAGTTTTTAATGTCTTATTTTACCTTCAATTTATTGTTCTTAAAAACCCTAAAGGCCCAAATAAAATTTTGTTCAAATCCAGTGCTCCAAAAGTAATCTATTTTTTTTTTTTTTTCATATTTTCAAAAAAACAAAAAAAATGTAAAAAAAGTTTTTTTTTTTTGCTTCAAATGTAAAAAAAAAAAGCGAGTACATTTTTTTTTCATGCTTTTTAAAAGTTAAAAAACGTATATATACGTTTGGACCGTTTAGGGTTAAAATTTGCCCCAAACAATGGAAGGGCCAAGGGGGTCCCTTATTGAGCTTTGCTTAGGGCAGCAGCTGGCTTTAATCTGGCCCTGTGAAATATGCAGTTATATGGTTCGTAGCTACATTTCCTGATTACCTTAATGTGATCAGTTTTAGATGCATTAAATTCTCCTTTTAGCTGGCCTCAGTATAATGAACTTTAGATATGAAGGACAAAAATCCATTGGGTCATTTGGCTTAAAAACCGTTAATGAAGTTCATTGGTAACAGAACTGTCCATCATTGTCACAGTCATGGCAGAACCTCATCTCTAGCCACCACAATCATCATTACCATCCACCCACTCCTCCTAGTTAGTCTGTTAAATCAAGGTTTTTGCTGTAATTAATAATTCTTAGCTGAGTTTGTCAGATGGCTCATCAGTTTCAGAATTTCATCGCAGTGACCCTGTGGCTCAATTGACAGTACACTGAGCTCACACTTAGTGTCTGTGGTTTGATTCCTGACATGGGCATGTTTCTTTACACATGCTGTCTCTGTTCACCTAGCAGTAAGTAGGTACTTGAGTGTTAGCTGACTTGTGGGTTGCATCATGGGGGTGGTAGTATACCTTAGATAGGGCTGGGCCTGGAAATGAGCCGAGGTAGGATAACAGCTCTTAGCCTGTAAAAATTGATTTGTGTAAAAAAAAAAAAATCGACATTGGAATAAAAAAAGATAGATTTTTTATTTACTTCATGTTTATATTAATATCTTGTAATAATTATGTTAATCATTGCAAGCAGCTTACAGCACCTGTGGAAATTCATTTATGACACAGTGTGGACTGTGGACTATTGATTGAGAAGCTAGACTCTAATTAGTATGATATTATAAGTGCTTTGACACACTCATCTATATACAATGGACCCCGACTTACGATAATAATCCATTCCAGAGAGCACATTGTAAGATGAAATTATTGTAAGTCGAATTAATTTTCCCCATAAGAAATAATGGAAATCAAATTAATCCGTTCAAGACACCCAAAAGTATGAAAAAAAAAATTTTACCACATGAAATATACATTTTCCTACACAAAAAGAAGGATACATGCACAATATATATTGTACATGCACAATATATATTGTGCATGTACTAGTGTACTAAATGAAGAATAAATGACAATTACCTTTATTGAAGATGTGGTGATGAGTGATGAGACACTGTTTGTGTCCTTGGAGTGCCTTTTCCTCCTGAGTAATGTAGGTCCGGTTTGGCATTTTCTTCCAGAACATGCCTTATCACACTGGGTATGCCACTATGATTCTTAAATCTCTCAAACCAACCTTTGCTGGCTGTAAATTCACCAATATGAGCACTAGTTCCAGGCATTTTTTCCTGTTCACCTGGGTGTTAGTTGATTGGTGTGGGTCACATCCTGGGGGACAAGATTAAGGACCCCAATGGAAATAAGTTAGACAGTCCTCAATGACACTGACTTTCTTGGGTTATCCTGGGTGGCTAACCCACTAGCTCAGCTGAAGCACTCAGGCCAGATGAACCAGATGGCTGCATTTGAGATGAATGATGCAAGTCAAGTTTTTCAATGTAAGTTGGGGTCAAATTTTTACGCTGACAAGCATCATGAGTCGGTTTTATTGTAGGTTGAGGCCATCGTAAGTTGGGGGTCCACTGTATACTGTATGTGAGGGATGGTTGGGGATGTTGCTTTTGGAAGGGTCATTTGAACTGTAATGTTTGTACACTTCTGCAAGACAGCTGTTGAATGAATGATGGTGAATGTATTTTCATATCTGGAGCACCTTACCTTGGGGGAAAATGGCCATTGTGGTAAAAATAAAAAAAGTATTTTCTTAACACACTGGCCATCTCCTGCCAACGTAGTGTGACCCCAAAATAAAAAAAAAACGATTTCAGAAAACAGTACAGTGGTACTTAAATTTTATTATTTTTTGTCAGAATATCAGCTTAGCAAAGAAGTTAGTGTTGTTGATGATGTTGGAACACCACTGGAAGTATACCGAGACTGGGTTGCTCCTAACAGACCTGTTATATTCAGAGGAGCTGTCAGAGACTGGCCAGCCATCAAGAAGTGGACCTTTGACTACCTTAGGTAAACTTATTGCTCAGTTTTCCTGTCTCTTAATTTAATTATTCTCTAAATGCTCTTCAAGGAAAGTACCTTGATGCTGGTGAAGACTCTTGATCCAAGGAATCAGAGCTGTGTGACCCCCCTACAGGTGTAGCACTTCTAGTAAATACTGTATGTGCCAGATCAACCGGGCTGTGATGAATATTTGGGGCAGCAGGCTTCCAGCAGCAACAGCCTGGTTGACCAGGCAAGCACCAGACAACCCTGGCCTATGGCCGGACTCCAAGAGTAGTTAAACTCTCGAGACTCTTCAAAGGTATATCAAAGGTAAGGTGTTAAAAATTCTTTTTATTAATGTTCATTTTCTTATTCTAGTTTATGAATTATTTTATATTTATTAAAATATTGCACGTAGAATTATTTTAACCACTAAACTGTCAGTCACACAGATTGATGTCAGTGGGATCAGTGTCTGCGTGATGTCAATGGAATCAGTGTCTGTGTGATGTCAGCGGGGTCAGTGTCTGTGTGATGTCAGTGGGATCAGTGTCGGTGTGATGTCAGTGGGATCAGTGTCAGTGGGATCAGTGTCAGTGGGATCAGTGTCGGTGTGATGTCAGTGGGATCAGTGTCGGTGTGATGTCAGTGGGATCAGTGTCGGTGTGATGTCAGTGGGATCAGTGTCAGTGTGATGTCAGTGGGATCAGTGTCGATGTGATGTCAGTGGGATCAGTGTCGGTGTGATGTCAGTGGGATCAGTGTCAGTGGGATCAGTGTCGGTGTCGTAGAATTGTCCATAAATCATGCCAATTTCAGATTTAAATGGAGAGGCCTTGGAGGCCTAGGTATGAGAAAAAGGAAGAAAAGAGAGAAAAACATCAGGCAATGACTTAAAGATCCCTCTTCAGGGACACCAAATTACAATATTATATACTAAAAATTAAAAATTATAATTGTTGTTAAAGGTTGAATGGTAGTTTACAGCACAATAAAAGTTTAAGTTACAATTTGAGATTTCTCAGTATTTGTAACTGTAAATAACAAGTTGATAGAGGTTTGACTTTCAGCACGAAACACTTGTTTTCGTTGTAGTTTGAACTCATTATACGTTCGTGTTACAGTTCAAGGTTTATTGTTACAGTCTCATGATAACTGTTGTAGGCTCAGTCAAACCTTCAAATTTAATTCACATTATAAGATTCTTTAGTGCATATTGTGAAGTGCACTGATTGAATGTGGTGAATATGTCACATATGGTGAATGCTTATCACATTTGGTTGAAAGGTGGCCTGTGGCCTTCACACACTGAGGGCCCGGGTTCAGTTCCCGACAAGGATGGAAACATTAATGTTTCCACCCTGTTTTTGTATGGTATTTATGATTGTATTCTCATTTTCTTGGCCTCATTTGATAGAATGAAAGATATGTTACAGAAATAGAAATGACTTGTGTTGGCTGACCTGTACTGCTATACAAGGTACTTTTAGTACCTTGTATAGCAGTACAGGTCAGCCATCACAAATCCGGCAATCAGTCATCCGGTTCCATCAGTTATTTGGTACTAATTTCGGCTAGGTTTAAGAATGTAGTGCTACAGTGTTCAGCAAAAGTTTGTGGTTACAGGAAAGTGGGTGCCGGAGGAAAGAAGAGCGATTCGTAGAATGATGATGTAAAGAGAGTAGTAAGGGAGAAAAAGTTAGCATATGAGAGGTTTTTACAAAGTAGAAGTGATGCAAGGAGGGAAAAGTATATGTAGAGAAAAAGAGTAGTTAAGAAAGTGGTGAAGCAATGTAAAAAGAGAGCAAATGAGAGAGTGGGTGAGATGTTATCAACAAAATTTGTTGAAAATAAAAAGTTTTGGAGTGAGATAAATAAGTTGAGGAAGCCTAGGGAACAAATGGATTTGACAGTTAAAATAGGAGAGGAGAGTTTTAAATGGGGGAGTTAGAGGTATTGGGAAGATGGAATATTTTGAGGGAAATTTTTAAATGTTGATGAAGATAGGAAGCTGGATTTTATGTATAGGGCAAGGAGGAATTAACATCTTGTAGGAGTGAGGAAGAGCCAGTTGTGAGTGTGGGGGAAGTTCCTGAGGCAGTAGGTAAAATGAAAGGGGGTAAGGCAGCCGGGATTGATGGGATAAAGATAGAAATGTTAAAAGCAGGTGGGGATATAGTTTTGGAGTGGTTGGTGCTATTATTTAATAAATGTATGGAAGAGGATAAGGTACCTAGGGATTGACAGAGAGCATACATAGTTCCTTTGTATAAAGGCAAAGGAGATAAAAGAGAGTGCAAAAATTATAGGGGAATAAGTCTGTTGAGTATACCTGGTAAAGTGTACACTGCACACACTGACCACTCAGACCCATTATCTTGTATGTAGGGCTACCAACTTTCCCCCGCAAGATTAGAAGCCGCTGGAATTTTGGTGTAACATTACGGGACCAACGCTGGTTTGCAAGCCATAATATTACGGGACCAACAGTGAAAGGGTTAATGGTTTGTCTAATTTTGGGAATGTGTAGATACTGTCTTCTGCGTGTTCGATTAATGCTCAGAGTCCCATAACACAGTATGGGAACCTGAGCTTCTTAGCTACTATCTCCCCAACACCTGCATTTTTGCTCCACTGTTTGAATTTGGCATTTATATTGTCGGTCACCAAACACCTCATATGCCATATGATAAGAGAATTTAATAAACCTCACTGAAAATGCAGATATATTATTATTATTATTATTATTATTATATTATTATTATTATTATTATATTTATACTCTATGTGCAAGCCATACAGTACAAACAAATAATTATAAAATGGTTACTAAATCTAAGGCATTTAATGGCACTCCCATTACAGTATTGTAATGAGAATGCCATTAAATGTAGTACCATTAACAGTACAAATTCCTATTATTTTATGTGGGTTTACCACCAAGCAATATCACATTTCTATTGGTGATTCCTTATGCGATACATATTCACCGTATGTGATACACATAAACCATATGTGATACACATTCACCGTATGTGATACACATAAACCATATGCGATACACATTCACCGTATGTGATACACATAAACCATATGTGATACACATTCACCATATGTAATTGTTTAGGTAAGACACATATGCAACAGTTAGGTATCTTTATTATGAAACGTTTCGCCTACACAGTAGGCTTCTTCAGTCAAGTACAGAAAAGTTGATAGAAGCAGAAGATACTTGAAGACGATGTAATCAGTCCATCACCCTTAAAGTTTTGAGGTGGTCAGTCCCTCAGTCTGGAGAAGAGCATTGTTCCATAGTATGAAACAATATGGAGATGAAGTGACAGGATGGAGCTTTTTATAGCGCCAAGAGGTTGAACGTAGCCACTAGGAGAGGTAAGAACTCAGATGTTGAGAGGTCAGGTCCCTCTCAAATCCAGCCGCTCTCACTAGTGGAAGTTGTCGAAGTTGATTGCAGGTCTGTACCAGAACCCTTGTGTTGCAGTGTCTGACAGATTGAACATTAAAATGGTATAAAATACCGACAGTAAATGGTATAAAATACCGACCTGTCGGTATTTTATACCATTTTAACGCACCATATGTAATACACACAAACCATATGTGATACACATTTGCCATATATGATACACATTCACCACGTGTGATATACAGCATGTGTGATACACATTCACTATATGTGATACACATTCATTGTATGTGACACACATTTACCATATGGGATATACATTCACCATATGTGATAGGCAGTCACCATATGTGACATTAATAATAGTAGTAATAATATTATTTCTACAAGTACATGTACAAGGTATACAGGCCTAGCTGACATAAATGACATACTATAGGTCAGCCATCACAAATCTGGCATCATTGGGACCTGTCGTGTGCCAGATTATCAGGTTTGCCGGATTACAGAGTGGTTAGGTTAGAATACACTTAATAAACTTAACCAACTTAACTTACACAAGAAAGTTCATTGAACATCGGCAAAAATCGAAAATTTCCGCTAGTTTGAGCTCAATTTCGAGGTACTTTTCATTGTGAAACCAATCAAAGTCGTATCTGTTTCTGTAATATATCTTCCATTCTATCTAATGAGACCAATAAAACGAGAATACAACAATAAAAACCATTCGAAAATATACCGCTAAGGGGTGGCTAATGGCTGTGAAGTGAACTCCGTTATTTATCATCCGATTTTTTCCATTTTTGGTGTACGTTAAGAAGCATATTTCCATCATACATTGCCCAGGTTTCAATAAGATAGCCCAACAAACAACTGAGAAAAAATATTTACCAAAAATCATACATGGCAAGCCCAAGCCAGGCACTGGAAATAAGTCACTTTGTCTGACTTTTTTGGGTTATCCTCAGTTCTCTATACATACGCTACTATGTATGATAATCTATGTAACTGTATTGTGCATACCTGAATTTACTTACTTCTGCTCTGTTGATTGAGTACAAGAAACTGCCCATTCACCTATTTCAGCTACCCAATAAAGTGGTCAGAAATTGGCAATTTGGCCAATTTCACACAAATTTCAAAAGATGCCAATTTCAAAATAGGGTCCAGAATAATAATAAGATAGCTCAATAAATAACTGAGAAAAATTTTTTTTACCAAAACTCATATATGTATGGCAAGCCCAAGCCAGGTATTGGAAATAAGTCGCTCTGACTTGTTTGGGTTATCCAAGGTTCTCTACACATATGCTGCTATGTTGATAATCTTTGTAGAGGAGATAGCTTTTTTGTTTCAGTTTTATGGTGCATTACGAGTGTATATCACAGCCCTGTGCTACACTCCATTTTCTCTAATATAAGCCCCCAGGACAGGGATAGGAGGATGATACTTGTATCTCATATCCTCTTCATACCTCCATCAAACTGCTCGATATTATGCCAAATATTATTCATTCTGGAATATTTACCATGTTTTTATGTCATTTATATTCTTTATTATGTCATATTAAATCAGTTGTGATAGGCAAATGAGCTGT